ACCACAACCATCACCACAACCACTGCCCTGATCACCGCTGCTGCATCGTCGTCGCCACAGTCGCGATCCCCAACATCCCCACCACCAAGATTACAAGCACCACCGCATTCACTACCCCTGTCGCCATCTTCCCTACATCTACCCCCCCTGCAACCCTTGGACCGCGACGGGTCTCGATACGTCACGTCGCCGCGTGTCGTGTCATGCGTCTCGCGCATGACGTATAGCTGTCAGGTCACGGGAGGGAAAACTTTCTGCCGGGAGTTTTCCGACTGAGAAATATCAGAGCGAGGTCGTATCTTGTTATGGCCCTCGGTCGAGAGTAAACGTCAAGGGGGCGATATGCCGAAGTGTTTCTGGACTTTCCCCCACGCTCAACTTCGTGCTCGACCGCGCCTACAAATAACTCGAAGCGTGCGCGCTGACATACTAGCTTGCTATGCGTAAGGGCGATCTATTCGGCGTTCACGTTGCGAGGAGGAGGAGCGGAAGTACGAAGTAAGTACATGTTTGAATATCTGAAATTCCTGACGGCATTGATTAGTCAAGTATTAGAAATTTTCCTACTGATACGAGCAGAAATATATTGCTTTTCCTTTACTCGTACTTGTTATCTAAAATCATTTATCTTCTTGCCATGAATCCTGTGTATGTATGAACAATGTGTGTTTATTAATCATAGTATTTTTCGTACAAAATCTTATTTTTATTATATTTTTAATAAAACTGTCGCTATCAATATCATAAAGAATTTGTTTGATAATTTAATTTAAAGGGTATTATAGTTTGTATAGCATATTTTTGCATACATTTCATGCGACAGTGCTTATAATGAAACAAAAGCAAACAATACGCTTCATAGATATCGTTAGATGTATTTTTTAAAATATTCGCTTTATAAGCCTTCTATGAAAAGAGTATCCTTTTCATAGGAGCGACATGATGGATATAAAGTTATCGTATGGCAGTGAACACCCACTCGTTGAATGACATGAAAACGAACGCTCGTGATAGCAAGTGAGCGGGTGCATAATGTACTGTGCATTATGCGTAATTTACGACGCATGCCAATAAAAGGGGTCGGAAATTAATTGGGTCGGCACAGTACACAATGAATTAAAATAACAAAACGAGACACCAAGCTCGCATGCCTCATTATGAACACAGCCAAGAACGATGGCACTGTGTGCCCATTAAGTCGAATACGCATGATCAATGGTTAATGAGATTTTAAT